TAGAGTTTTATAAATATTGTTAAGTCAAGGTGATTCATATCTTCTATGTGTTTGCTGAATTTTTTTTGTCTAGTTCTATCAGTTGATGGTGTTAAAATCTCCAATTGCTACTGTAGAATTATCTTTCTTTAATTGTGTCAGTTTGGTTTCATGTATTTTTTAATCTGTTATTAGGTGCATACATGTTTATGATAATTGTTCTTTTATCACTTCTGATAATGCATTTTGTTTTGAAGTCTATTTTACTTGATATTAATATGATTATTCAGTCTTTTTTGCCTATGCTTTCATGTTATATCTTTTTCTATCTTCTTTCAATGTACCTGTGTCTTTACATTTAAAGTTTATCTCTTGCAAAGAGCATAACATTGGTTTTTGGTTTTTGGTTTTTAATCCATTCTGACAATCTTTGCTTTTCAATAGGAATGTTTAGTCTGTTAATGTTAAATGTTATTACTGATATGATTGGATTTTCGTCTACCATTTGATTTTGTTGTTACTTGTTTTCTCTGCTTTTTGTTTTTCTGGTCTTCCTTTCTACCCTTACTTGAAATATTTGAATAATTTTTAGACTTCTCTTTTAATTTTCCTTTCGGTTTTTTAAGCTTTGCTTCATTATCCTTTTTAGCTATTACCTTATGGATATACATTAACTATCCCCATCCATCTATAATTAGTATTGTGCTATTTCATGTTAAATATAGAAATACTGAAATTTATACCTTTCATTTCCTTCTTGTCCTTTAAGTTGTACTATTACATGTGTTTCATCTACATGCATTAAAACACCATCAGTGTTATAAGAGTTGCTTAAAGGGGTACCTAGGTGACTCAGTGGGTTGAGCATCTGACTCTCGATTTCTGCTCAGGTTATGATCTCAGGGTTGTGAGATCAAGCCCCTCATAGGGTCCACGCTGGGTGTGGAGCCTGCTTGGGATTCTCTGCCTCCCTTTCTCTCTGCCCCCCACCTTAAAAAAAAAAGAGGTGCTTTAAAACAGTCATGTGTTTTTACTTTTAATTTTTTTTTTAAGATTTTTATTTATTTATTTTAGAGAGAGAGAGTGTGTGTTTGAGCTGAGCCTGGGGGAGGGACAGAGGGAGAGAGAAAGGGAAAGAATCCCAAGCAGACTCCCCGCCAAGCTCAGAGCCCTTTGACACAGGGCCTGATCTCACAACCCTGAGATCACTATCTGAGCCAAAACCAAGAGCCAGACACTCAACCGACTGAGCCACCCAGGTGCCCCAAACAGCCAGGTAGTTTTAAAATAAATTTGGAGGAAAAAGCCAAAAAGTTAAAAAAAGGAGTCTCTTGCATTTACCATTTCTGAAGCTCACCATTCTTTTCTTAGTATTTCAGTTTCCCTCTGATACAATTTCCCTGCAGCATAAAGAACTTCTTTTAGTATGTCTTCTAGCACAGGTCTGCTGGTGATAGATTTTCTTTTATCTAAAAATGTCTTTCCTCTGCCTTCATTCTTGAAGAATATTTTCTCTAGATATAAATTCTGAGTTGACAGGTGTTTGTTTTTTTTCTTTTGACCCTTTTTAAGATGTTGTTCCCCTCTCTTTTGGCTAGGTCCTTACTACCCTCCATTCAGTATGTTTTTTTCTCTTGCTGTTTTCAAGATTTGCTCTTTATTTTTTGTTTCAAGTGTTTGATTGTGACTTGCTGGCTACTTTGTTTCTCCTTGGTGTCCGTTTAGCATCTTGCATCTTCAAATTTCTGTAGTTCCATCAAGTTTATGCAGTTTGGGGCCCTTACTTCTTCAGTTTTTTTCCTACCCCATTCTCTATCTTCTGTCCTTTTGGTATTCCAGTTACACATGGTAGACCATTTGACTTCATCTAACAAGTGTCCAGGTTTCTGTTCTTTTTCCCCCCAATCCTTTCTGTTTTCCACCTTGAATAATTTCTTTAAAAAAAAAAAAAGTAAAGATTTTATTTTTAAGTAATCTCTATACCCAGCATGGGGCTCGAACTCACAACCCCAAGATCAAGAGTCTCATGCTTTACTGACAGAGCCAGCCCAGGCACACCCACCTTGAATAATTTCTCTTCATCTATCTTGAAATTCACAGACACTTCCTCTTCTTTGTCCATTCAGCCATTAAGTCATCCAGCGGATTTTTTTATTCCAACAATTGTATTTCTTTAATTTTAGAATTTATATTTGACTTTTTTTGTTTCTATTTCTCTACTGAGATTTATTTCCTTGCGTAGTTTGTATTCATTGAAAACATGTTTTATTATACTTCACTGAGTTATTTATAATAGCTTTTAAAAAATCTGTGTTTAGGGGCGCCTGGGTGGCTCAGTTGGTTAAGCGACTGCCTTCGGCTCAGGTCATTATCCTGGAGTCCCTGGATCAAGTCCCGCATCAGGCTCCCTGCTCAGCAGGGAGTCTGCTTCTCCCTCTGACCCTCCCCCCTCTCATGTGCTCTCTCTCATTCTCTCTCTCTCAAATAAATAAATAAAATCTTTAAAAAATAAAAATAAAAATAAAAAAATAAAAAATCTGTGTTTATTCCAACATATTGGTTCATCAGCAGGGTAGGCTTGGTCCATTTTCTTGATTCTTTGTATGTTGAATAATTTTGAATTGTATCCTGGATATTAAGAATGTCAACTTGTAGAAATCCTAGATTCTGTTATTTTTCTGCAATAATTGTTGTTTTCTTTCTCTTATCAGGTAATTTTCTTGTCTGGGTTTGAATTACAAACTTGTTTCTCAGGGGGCAAAATTAGACAAACCCCCTTCAAAAATTAGACAAACCACATTTATTGTGTTATACACATATTTTGTTTCTTTGTCACCATTTATATTAAGTACCAACTTAAAAGTTTTTAGAAAGGGCGCCTGGGTGGCTCAGTTGGTTAAACGACTGCCTTCGGCTCAGGTCATGATCTTGGAGTCCCTGGATCGAGTCCCGCATTGGGCTCCCTGCTCAGCAGGGAGTCTGCTTCTCCTTCTGACCCTCCCCCCCTCTCATGTGCTCTCTCTCTCTCAAATAAATAAATAAAATCTTTAAAAAAAAAAAGGTTTTTAGAAAGCTCGAAGACAGGAAATCAGGAACTATCTAGCAATTTCTTTCCATGAGCATACATTTTATGTCACTTTAACAAATTTTAAGATGGCAAAATAAGCATGGATCTAGCATCATTTAGAGAAATTTACGCATTCAGTTAATCTATAGGTATTTTATATATAAAAGTAAGGAGGAGGGGGAGCCTGGATGGCTCAGTCAGGTAAGCATCTGACTCTTGATTTCGGCTCGGGTCATGATCTTGGGGTTGTGGGATCAAGCCCCTCGATGGGCAAAAGATGTCTTACATCTTTTGTCTTTAGCTGAGCTGTTTTGGGTCTGTCCCATGCATGAGCGTGAGTAGTTCAAAGGTCAGTTAGAAATGTGAGTGTAGGGAGCTTGGAGATCACCCCATACCTCTCTGTCTTCTAGGATTACTCACTCTCTTCGGCATTCAGTTTTCTGGCTTCACTTTTCTGATTTGCCAAGTCAGAAATACTGTGTGTTTTTAAATGCATGTTCCTACTCTCTCTGCATATATGACATAAGTCAGAGTATCCAAAAACAAGAAATTGCTAAAGGCAATAATTTGGAAACATGCAACAGTAAATAAAATGATTACAGGAACTTTAAAAAAGGACTTTTTTCAAAATGATTCCTGAGTATGCCAGAAAATTCAGACAGTCAACATAGCATTTTGATGATAAAAAGGAAAGGAATCTGTTATCTGGCAGTGGAATAACTTGGTCACTTTACAGAAAGATAACCCAAATTTGTATTTTCTTTTTTGCCTGTTATCCATCTATTTTCAGTAAGAGATTTATAAGTCCTTTTCTTTATGAATAAATTTATTAACATTGAACCAACATTGCCATGATTTTTAAAAACAATTCATTATTTCCTTCAAATTCACCATCTATAGGCAGAGTTTGTTTTCCTCAGACCCTTTATATTTACCATTAATAATTTACCCTCAAATTCGTCTTTTGTTATCTCTTATCATTTATTAACTTTTGATTTAATCAATATACTAGGTATGTATATTAGATCAATATAATAGAAATAGATAACTGTGATGATAAGAATAAAGCTTTTAACTAGTTGTAAAATATAACTAATTGTATCAGTACATTAAATAAAATAATGTATAGATTATATTGATTTACCATCTTAATGAACTAACATTTTCCTTAATGAAAAAAATTAGACAAACCACATTTATTGTGTTATACACATATTTTGTTTCTTTGTCACCATTTATATTAAGTACCAACTTTAAAGTTAAAAGTTTTTAGAAAGCTCGAAGACAGGAAATCAGGAACTGTCTAGCAATTTCTTTCCATGAGCATACATTTTATGTCACTTTAACAAATTTTAAGATGGCAAAATAAGCATGGATCTAGCATCATTTAGAGAAATTTACGCATTCAGTTAATCTATAGGTATTTTATATATAAAAGTAAGGAGGAGGGGGAGCCTGGGTGGCTCAGTCAGGTAAGCATCTGACTCTTGATTTCGGCTCGGGTCATGATCTTGGGGTTGTGGGATCAAGCCCCTCGTTGGGCTCTGCACTGGGCATGGAGCCTGGTTAAGATTCTTTCTCCCCCCCCCCCCCCCCCCCCGTCCCTCTCCCCTTACCCCCCTTTCAAAAAAAAAAAAATTAAGTAAGGAGGAGGAGCCTCTGGCTCAGTCGGTGGAGCATACAACTCTTGATCTTGGGGTTATGAATTCAAGCCCCATGTTGGGTGTAGAGATTACTTAAAAATAAAATCTTAAAAAAAAAAAAATAAGGAGGGCGCCTGGGTGGCTCAGTTGGTTAAGCGACTGCCTTCGGCTCAGGTCACGATCCTGGAGTCCCAGGATCGAGTCCCGCATCAGGCTCCCTGCTCAGCGGGGAGTCTGCTTCTCCCTCTGATCCTCCCCCTTCTCATGTGCTCTCTCTCTCTCTCAAATAAATAAATAAAATCTTTAAAAAAAAAAAAATAAGGAAGGGTAATTTAAAACTATATGTGGTGCCCAGTGTTTGGATCTTTTCCTTTAATTAGAAACTGTCCATATTTCCAAGGATTATTAATTAACTCAATTTATTATTAGTTTAAGAGATCTTTAAGTTGACCTAAACATCTGGAAATTAAAATTTAGGTCAACGCATCAAATATTTATAATTTGAAACATAAGAATTTATTAGATGAAATAATTTTTAAAATATAAGTTCTTTTAATTAAATACAGTTCTATAGTTTTGTAATTTTAAACAATTTGTGGGAACAGTGAGATCTTACTGAACCCTTAGAATTACTATTATTAATTTAGAAGCTTTAAATCATGAGAAATTAAATCTAAGTCTTACATTAATTATTACAGTAACATTTTTATATCATAATAAAATCAGGAGGAAACATGAAGTTATTTTTAAGCTAATTTAAACTTAACTCTTCTTTATAGTCCAAAGAATCATCTAACTGTCGGGAATATAACATAAAATTTTAATATAAATAGACCTATTATGGTCATATATCCAAAAAGATTTTTTTTTTTTTAAAGATTTTTATTTATTTGAGACAGAGAGAATGAGAGAGAGAGCACATGAGAGGGGGGAGGGTCAGAGGGAGAAGCAGGCTCCCTGCTGAGCAGGGAGCCCGATGTGGGACTCGATCCCGGGACTCCAGAACCATGACCTGAGCCGAAGGCAGTCGCTTAACCGACTGAGCCACCCAGGCGCCCCTCCAAAAAGATTTTTAAGACTCTTGGATATACCAAGCTCTAAGTATAGGAACCAAGACTATTGCCCAAACTCACACTTAAACTTTTTCTTTTGCGTTAGTTCAGCAAGGGAAAAGTAGAAGCACAAATAGTTTAATTTTTTTCTCTTTTTTATGGAAATTATGGACTGTTTATCTGTACTAGGTATTTCTTCGGTATGTACATGATGACAGAATAATTATTTATGATTAATTGATCTCCAAAGTTTCCCAAGGAAAGAGAAAAAATGGGGAAGGAAGGAAGTGAGAGGAAGCTGGCTCACACAGACACAAATGGCTGGTTATCTTCTCCCTGTGAGGAAGGGAAGAGACTTAGATACCAGAAAACCTATCTGACTTGCCCACTCAAACCCACAAGAACTAAAGTCAGTATATCTGGTTCACATAGTAATTCAGGTCCTTGACAGTCCTATTAAGCCATGTCCTTAAAAAGCCAGGATTTATTAATAAATAAGGGAAAAAAGAGGGAGATCTCCTGGTTAAACAAAGTGATATGTCTTTTATTTTTTATTTTTATTATTTTTTTAAGATTTTATTTATCAGAAAGAGAGCACTCACAAGCAGGGGGAAGCAGCAGGCAGAGGGAGAAGCAGGCTCCCCACTGAGCAAGGAGCCCGATGCAGGACTCCATCCCAGGACCCCGGGATCACGATCTGAGCCAAAGGCAGACGATTAACCAACTGAGCCATCCAGGTGCCCCTTCATAACAAAATTTTCAAAGTGATAACTGCAGTTTTGGATTGGTGGAATTATACCAGTTAGAAATGCATATGAGTGGGGCGCCTGGATGGCTCAGTTGGTTAAGCGACTGCCTTCGGCTCAGGTCATGATCCTGGAGTCCCTGGATCGAGTCCCGCATCCGGCTCCCTGCTCGGCAGGGAGTCTGCTTCTCCCTCTGACCCTCCCCGCTCTCATGTGCTCTCTCTCTCATTCTCTCTCAAATAAATAAATAAAATCTTAAAAAAAAAAAAGAAATGCATATGAGTGAAAATACGAAGAGAGCAGGTGTTTGGTCCAGAAGGCCAGACTAAGAAGACCTCACAAGAATGAGGTCAGTGAGGCTGGTACTTACATAAATCTAATATCTCCAGAATCTGGTCAAAGACAGCATCACAAAGTGGAATCCCAGTGACCCCGCCAATAATAGTTGTCTGTTAGTATCCTTAGAGAACAGGGCTCATGGAACTTCCCTATAACACCATTTGCTTAACAGTAGAATTAGGTTATTAGCTCAGCCAACCCAACTAATCAATAATGAGTGGCTGTATACAGGACTTGGCCCTAGGTATACAAAGATGGATCAGACATAAGACATAGTTTTAGCCCCCAAGAGCTCACAGCTTAGCTCTTTTTTTGAGCAAAATATTGCTTAAATTGTTGTCTTCATGGTGGGATAAATCTGCCTTGGAATCAATCCAAAGTGATTTGATTACCATAATATAGTTGCACTAATAAGACTTGAATTCCAAAAAACCCCATTTTAGATTCTAGCATTTTGCAGAATATTAGGATTCTCATTTTTTTTTTAAGATTTTATTTGTTTATTTGACAGAGATAGCAAGAGCAGGAACACAAGCAGGGGGAGTGGGAATGGGAGAGGGAGAGGGAGAAGCAGGCCTCCCGCTGAGCAGGGAGCCCAGGACCCTGGGATCATGACCCGAGCCGAAGGCAGATGCTTAAAGATTGAGCCACCCAGGCACCCCTAGGATTCTCATTCTATGTTAAGCCAGGCCAGACCTATTTTCTTTGATGACTATTTAAAAAATAAAATAATGCATTTGCTAGTTTAAAAATTATATATATATATATAAACTAGTAGATTGAGAAGTTTTACTCTGGTCCTTGAACTTTTCTACCTGGTTATCCCATTATCATTTCTTCCATGAATTAACACTGTAATTAGTTTCTTACATATTTATATATTTTCCATTGTTATTTTGTGCAAATATAAGCAAATATAAATGTATATATTTTTTAATCCCATTCTTACACAAAAGCTAGCTTACCAGTTTAAAGGCTGTCAGGCAGAAGGAATTCTTCCTTGGAGAAGTGAACAAAGAACAGATTGGATAACTATAAAACAAACAGGAAGATGGTAGATGAAATTCCACATTATGTTGTTATTATATTATATTAAGTAAAAAGTCTAAGCATCCCAATAAGAAGTAGGGGTTGTCAGATTGCATGAAAAAGTAAGACCCATTCAGATGCTGCCTAAATTGAACTTGCTTTTTTTTTTTTAGATTTTGGAGCACAAGGAGGGGGAGCAGCGGGCAGAGGGAGCAGCAGGCTTCCTGCTGAGCAAGGAGCCCCATGCGGGACTCGATCCCAGGACCCTGGGATCAACCCGGGCCGAAGGCAGACGCCCAACCAACTGAGCCACCCAGGAGTCTTGAACCTGCTTTTAGTACAAAGATACAAACAGGTTAAAAGCAAAAGGGTGGGAAAAGATGTACCATGTTAACATTAATCAAAAGAAAACTGAGTAGCAAAGTGAGTTTTAAAACAAATTACCAAGGATAATGATAAAGGGGTTAATTCATTAAGAAAATATAATCCTAAATGTTTATATATAAATAGAGATTCAAAAGACATGAATCAAAAACTGATAGAACTGCAAGAAATTCACAATTATAACTGGAGATTTTAACACCTCTCAATAACTGATAGAACAAGTAGACAGAAAATTAGTAAGGGAATAGATTTGAACAGTGTAATCAACGAATGTGACTTCATTTATGTTTATGGAACACTCTACCCCAGAACAGTGGAATACACATTCTTTTCAAGTGCAGATGGAACTGTTACCAAGACAAACCATTTTCTGGGCCATTAGAAAAGTCTCAAAAGTCTCAATATATGTAAGCTGGTTCAATTTATAGAAGGTATGATCCCTGACCACAGTGGAATTCAATGAGGAATCAGTGACAGCAAGATGTCAGGAAGATCTTTCAACTGCTTGGAAACTAGATAGCATTTTCAAATAAACCATGAATCAAAGAATAAAAAATCAAAAGTAAAATTAGCAAGTATTCAGAACTGAATGTAGGTGAAAATGTAACATAAAGTTTGTGGGATGGAGCAAAAGGAGAATTTATATAACACTAAATCCTTATATTAGAAAAGAAAAAAGGTCTCAAATGATCTTGGGTTTCTACCTTAAGAACTAGAAAAATAGGGGCACCTGGGTTGCTCAGTCATTAAGCATCTGCCTTCGGCTCAGGTCATGATCCCAGGGTCCTGGGATCAAGCCCCACATCGGGCTCCCTGTTCCGCAGGAAGCCTGCTTCTCCCTTTCCCTCTCCCCCCACCCCCCCACTCCCTGCTTGTGTTCCCTCTTTCACTGTCTCTCTCTCTCTCTCTCTGTCAAAATAAATAAATAAAATCTTAAAAAAAAAAAAAACTAGAAAAATAAAGGCTTGTGAAACCCAAATTAAGTAGAAAAAAAGACCAATGTAGAAATCAGTAAAATAGAAAACAAAAACCATAAAGAAATCTATGAAATCAAAAGCCAGTTCTTTGAGAAGAGCAATAGAATTGATAAACCTCTTGCCAGACTGATCAGGAAAAAATAGAGAAGACAAAAATTGTAATATTAGGAACAGAAGAGGTAACATCACACAGATTCTACAGATATGAAAAGTATAATAAGTGAATCATCAGCCTAGGAAAAACAGACCAATTCCTTGAAAGACACAAATGGCCAAAGCTCACTCAAGAAGAAACAGACAACCTGAATAGCACCAAATCTATTAAGGAAATTGAATTTGTAGTTAAAAGTCATCCCACAAAGAAAACTCCAGGCCCAGATGATTTCACTGGTGAATTCTACCAACTATTTAAAGAGGAAATAATATGAATTCTCTGCAACCTTTCTAGAAAATAGAAAAAAAAGGAACAGACACTTCCCAAGCTCATTCGCCCTGAGGTCAGTGTTAGTCACTGGTACCCCTCTTAGTCTTCTCCTGGTTCAGCCAGAGTAATCCCTTTAAATATAATCAGATTCAGTCACTCTGCCCCAAGCCTCTTGTGCCTTCCCAGTTCCTTCAGAGTAAAAGCCAAAGCCTCGACACCTTAGGCAGACAAGATCTTCCCATGCCCCTGCAGCCTCTATCTAACTGCCTTTTTTTCTCCTTCTTCTGTTCCATCCATATTGGCCTGTTTGCTATTCCTTGAACCTTTCCCAGTCATCCTCCCTGTCCCAGTGCCTTTGTACTTGCTGTTCTCTATGCTAGGAAAGTGCTTCCCCCATAGTTTACTCTCCCTCCTTTGGGTCTTTGTTCAATTTTTATCTTCATCAGTGTTTTTTTCTGATCACTTTATTTAACATTACAATCCAGTCCCCACTCCCTGACCTCAGCATCCCTGTCCCTCTCACATGCTTTTTCTCCCTAGCAGTTTTACCTTCTTATATATTTTGTAATTTACTAATTTATTTTGCTGTCTGTCTCCCCCTACTAGAATGTGAACTGTTGGAAGGAGGGATTTTTTTTCTCTGTATTCTACCTGTTGTAACCCTAGAGCTTAGGATAGTACCTAGCTCTTAGTAGATACTCAATAAACATTTGCAGAATGTTTAACGTTCATTTCGTAATGATGCTCCCTTTGCTTTGCTTTGAAAGAAGACTTCCCCTCTGCAGCCATGTATTCTCAGATTGTCCCATAGTTTAGTGACCAGAAATTTTTAAACCTATGGGGATTTATGAGAGGTGTTCTTCATTGTAAGGAAGGAAGGGGTCATTGTGAAAGCAGCATTAGGAAGGAGAACTGGCAGAGGTGTTCTCAGATTAGTTTTAGAAAAGATTATGTATGAAATTCAAGATCTGAAATTTGATCCCTTTTAAATAAGTACTTTTATACTTCTTGGAAAGCTTCATGTACCCCCATCCAGACACAAATGTACCCCATTTCGAAGGCTAAGATTAGAGTTTATTTAACTTAGTGATAGACACTTTACTATTTAAACAGTGCTTCAGTGAATATGTGTGTGCGTATGTGTGTATTCATACTCAGTTGTGTGTGTATGTGTAGGTAAGTCTGTAGAGTTAAATCCCCCAAAATAGAATTGCTGGATCAAAGGGTAAATGTATTTGCAATTTTGGTAGATACTGAATATTGTCAAATTGCCTCTCTGGGGCTTTTTGAGAACTGGGAATCAGATATGCAAACTCTAGGCAGAGTCAAGAGCTAGCATTCCCTTCGTGTTGTGCAACTATAGGACAAAGTTAAAGACAGTTTTGTCACCTACATAGTGGAAAGCTGAGGAATTAAGTTTACGTTTTTGAGGTTCATCTATATTGCAGCACATAACAGCATGTCATTCCTTTTTATTGTTGAGTATTCTTCCATTATTTGGACATACATTTTGTTTATCCATCCACCAACTGAGGGACATTTGGATGGTTTCCAGTTCTCGGCCATGACGACTAATGCTGCTGTGAACACTCACGGACAATTCATGGATATGTGTTTTCATTTCTCTGGGGTGGATTCCTAGGAGTAGAATTGCTGGGTCTTATAAAGTAAGTTTGTGTTGAACTTTTTAAGAAACTGCCAAGCTGTTTTCTAGAGCGATCCTACGGTTCTACATTCCCACCCGCAGTGTACGAGGGCTCCAGTTTCTCCACATCCTCACCAACACTTGATTTTGTCTGTTTGATTCTAGTATATCTCTTTGTGGTTTTAGTTTCCATTTCTTGAATGACCAGTGATACTGAGCATCTTTTCATGTGCTTATTAGCCATTTGTATTTCTTCTTTGTTGACATCAATTAAAAATCTTTACCTATTTTTTAATTGGTTTGTATACTGTCTTATTATTGAGTGATAAGAGTTCTCTGTATTCTGGATACAAGGTCTTTATCAGATATATGATAGAATGTAGGAATTTTTTAATCTTCCTTCCACCAGGACCAGAAATTGTGTAAGGCAGGGAACCGCTAACTGTAATAATAATTAACATGTGATATTTGAGTGCTCATTATGAGCTGGACACTGGGCTGCTTTATACTGATTGTTTTATACTGATTGTTTAAGTAAGATACTTTCTCATTTTCTGAAGGTTATGAGAATGTTTCAAATGCTTGCTTTCCAGTTAACAGTTTTTGATAGATAAAGAAAAGAAATAGTTGATTTAGAAAATTCTTGATTTCTATGAGTTAGAATTGGTGTTTTAATATTATTACCATAAAGATTACATGGCTGTTATAACAGATGCAGAATACCAGCAACTTTAAACAAGCTAGGTGTTTATTTCCCTCCTCTGTAACAGGCTGACATTAACTGGCTGTAGATGGGGGCTCCACAGGGTCAGATACCTCCATCTTATTACTCTTTAAAATGTGGATTCTACCTCAATTCCAAATGGCCACTCCACCTGTCCTGTCCTTGTGCAGGGAGTGGGAAGTAGAAAGGAGAGGGGGGCTGCCCATTCCTTTTAAGAAAGAGGCCCAGAAGTTGCCTGTATCATTTCTGCTCACATCTTTGGTTAAAACTCAGTGACGTGGTAATGCTGAGGTACAAGAGAGACTGGGAAATGTAGTCTTTACTGTGGGGCCATGTGGCTATCTACAGCTAAGGTTAAGGTCTAAAACTTAGGGGTTGAGGGTGAGAGAGGAGAACAGATGTTGGGGACCATTGTTGGCTTGGGGGTTCCTGTAACTAGCCCGTGTGGGATTCCCATTAATTTTTCCTCAGAGAAAGTCTAGTTGATATGTAGTTATTAGCCTAAACCTTATCGAGGAGTTAACTTTTACTATTGTTTTAGAATTGTATCAGAATGCTCTTCCTGCTGAAATAGCCATAAATATGAATTATTATTGCTTAGGAAATGTGAAAATTAACTTAGCAGTTAAATCCAATTTAGGAGTTGCCTTACTGAATATAGAGCTTATGCACCAGCTGGTCGATAGGGTGGCAGACAGCTTCTGGAAGTCGACTTTGGGAGCAGAACTCTGTCATTTTCTTTTCAAGTGACTCTTTCCTCCTGACATCACCACAGTGCCACTTAACGAGCAGTTTCTCCAGTGTTATCTGTAGCCGTTCTTCTCTGGTTAATATGTAGCTTTGGATTAATATGCCATATCTGGCGCTTTAGGAGGAAAAAGCATTTCATTTAGAGATGCCATTGCTTCTCTAAGGACAACAGTCATTTCTAACAAGTGTAGGGAGAAATCTTCTGGACCCATTTGTCCTTTGTGTGCGTTTAAAAACCTTGACGACAAAACAAATTGCTGCTGAATGTTTTGAAGAAACAAACAAAACTCCTTTAGTGTTTCATTTCTAGGTTTTTAGTCCTAACAATTACCGAGAAATTTGCCTTCCCCAGGCGCAGCTCCAGGCTGCTGAGAGGATCTTAATGCTGAGGGAGCTCATACTTGCATAGCCCATTTCAGCTGCCCCAGAGATAACCTGGATAAACACTGGCCCCTCTGCGAACCTCCTGATCCCTGCTGGGCCTTGCACTGTGGGGAGGTTCAGACGACGTGTTTTCCTTCCCTACTGGCCCTTCTCTCTACACTCCCTCCAGCTGCCTGCCTCCCCCACCCCCAAGTAACGTGATCTCCCAAGCCTGCTCACTGCTGGCCAGATTCTTTCAGTCTTAGAGAAAGAGAGGGAAAATTAACCACTGGTTTCCCAGTCAAAGTGAGCAAAACTATAAAAGCCAAAAGCAGCATTTGAAAATAAAAGAAGTCTTACTTGTAAATAACCAGTGCTCGGGCTTTTCCTTTATCAGTGTTTCTGCAAAAGTGTGCTTAAGTTTACCTTACTCTATAGATAATAGTCTGAAGTGTTTTGATTTTTGCAACATTGCTATTTTTGATTTGTTTTATAGATATTGTAATCTTTATTCAATATTCAGATTAAAGGCAAACAAGACTTTTAGGGATTTGAAATAAAATTCTTGGCATTTATTTCAAAAGTTAACCAAAGTAAAGGGACAGACACAATTCACGAAAATGTTTGAAACCTCTTTGAGTTGAATTCAGGCACTTAGTGTTTAATACGAATTATCCCAAACTATTTTTTGTTTAATAATATATCTGTTTCTAACTTAACTTGTAAGTGGAATTTGACTGGGTTTAGGAATTCAGGATTTGATTGTTTCTTCACCACCAGCAATATTATGATTTGAAACCTATAGTATGCAACAAATTTTAAATAGTTTTGCAGCCTGGTGTCCTAAAATTGGTCTGTCAGCTCTTGATTATGGGTACCTACCTAGTGGGTGTGATAGAATGGAAAAAAATCTAACAAGGGAGTTTGGAGATCTGGGTTCTTTTCCTGGCTCTGCCATACCTTGCTGTGAGACCTCGTGCAAGTTATTTAATCTGTCTGTGCCTCAGCTGTCTCATCTATAAAATGGGCAAAACAGATTCTGATGAAAAATGATTAAATGTGGAAGACCTGTTTTTATCTCCGTTTGTTCCCCAAGCTCTGCTGAAATGATAGTAAGAAGATTTTTTTCAAAGTGAAAATTCATAAGGGCAAAAGAACCAAAAAGGGTAAGTAGATAAGAAAGGTGAACACATTTTTGAAAATGGAAGGCAGTCAGAAGGAAATTGAAGTCTAACCTCTTCTGAGAGAGACATTAGAAGTGAGCCAGTGTGCTTGTAAGATCCTGAGAAAAAAATCGACGTTAGAGGCATTAGTACTAAAGAAAGCAGGGAGGGGTGAGGCCTGTAACTGAAATCGAGGGATCAATTGAAAGTCAGTAAAAGGAGTGTTTAGATTCTTCATTCACACTGCTCCCCAACTCTGTACAGCAGATGACCACCTCTCCTTCCCACCTATTTGAGACTAGAAGTATTATATTGACAGATTGCCCTATAGAGGCCCTGGACTCAGGGGCATTACTTTCACCATGGATACATATAAGCCAAGGGACTGAAAACAGTGGGGTGAGCAAGAGCAGAATTTTTTTTTAAAAATATTTTATTTATTTATTTGACAGAGAGTGAGAGAGAGAGAAGGAGCAGTAGGAAGGATCAGAGGGAGGGAGAGAGAGAGAGAAGCAGACTCCCTGCTGAGCAGGAAGCCTGATGTGGGGCTTGATCCTAGGACCCTGAGATCATGACCTGAGCCGAAGGCAGACGCTTAAACAACTGAGCCACCCAGGTGCCCCCAATTTTTTATTTTTATTTTTTTAAAAGATTATTTATTTATTTATTTGAGAGAGAGAAAGTGTGAGAGGGAGAGGGTCAGAGGGAGAAGTGGACTCCCTGCTGAGCAGGGAGCGGGATGCGGGACTCATCCCGGGACTCCAGGATCATGTCCTGAGCCGAAGGCAGTTGCTTAACCAACTGAGCCACCCAGGTGCCCCCCAATTTTTTTTTAAAGTAAGCTCTATGCTCAACATGGGGCTTGAACTCACAACCCCAAGATCAAGAGTCGCATGCTCTACCTATTGAGCCAGCCAAGCACCCCAAGCAGATTTTTTTTTTTTTTTTTTTAAGTCTGCATATTGAATAGCGAGATTCTCGGCCCTCTTCTAATAAATGCCAGCTAGGGCCCTAACAGAGAGATGGAAAATTTTTTTTCTGGGAAAAACAAAAACAAAATTGAACAGCCCTAGAAAAAGCCCTACAGATACCAACATTTGGGGATTCTCTTGAAGGAAAAGTGAGCTTACCACTTTCCTTCACTGAAGCCCACCAGTTGTGCTCCTCCCCGCATACGTTTTAGTTCCTCATTTATTTAGAAGAGTCTCTAACAGATAAAAGGTAAAACATTCACAGAAAAAAGGAACTTGGTTGAAATAAAGACAATGCAGGAAACAGAAGAAGAGTCCAGAAGAGTCTTTGCTGTCCTTAGGGAGACATATTGCAAACATCAAGCAACAGTGTTAATAAAAATAATCACAATAATAAAATAATGAGAATATCAGAATAATAACAAGGTCTTATATTGAGAACATTATAGCCAGAAGTTAAAATTCCACAGAAGACTTAAAATGCAGCCTATTGCAGGAAACAGTACATAAAGAAAAGACATAGACAATGAGAGAGAACAGATAAGAAAATTAGAAGCTCAGTCCCAGAGGTTCAGTATCCATCTGATAGGAATTCTAGAAGGAGAAAGCCAAAAGAAAATGGAGGAGAATTTAGGACACAGTATCAGGGAAAACCTCAGAGTGGGTGTTCTCCAGAGCTAAATGACTTAACATCTTCTAATTGGATTAGCTCCTGAGGTGCCAGCATTATAAAAGACTCACTCCTAGTTGTATCATTGTGAAATTTCAGAACACCAAGAGTATTAGAAGATACTCCAGAGCGTCCAAAGAGAAAAACAGGTTATTATATAAAAGATCAAGAATCAGAGTGGAATTGCATTTCTAAACAATACTGGAAACTAGAAACTAGTGGAGAAACATCTTCAAAATTAAGTGGGAAAAATTAATTTTAACCTAGAATTCTGTACCCATCCAAACTGTCAGAGTAGGTTTGGAATGTACCCTCCTCCCACTTTTTTTCCAGAAAGCTACTGGACAATGTATTCCAGCAAAACGAGGATGGAAGTCAGTAAACAGAACTGAGGGGGCACCTGGGTGGCTCAGTTGGTTGAGCGTACCACTCTTGGTTTCAGCTCAGGTCATGATCTCGGAGTCATAGGATCAAACCCCGTGTTGAGCTCCACGCTCAGCGCATAGTCTGCTTGTCTCTTTTTCTCTGCTTCTCCCCCACTCGCACGCTCTCTCTCAAATAAATGAATAAATAAAATCTTTTAAAAAATAAAAATAAATAGAACTGAGAATATTTTAAGGGTTTTAGTATTTGGAAAAAATACTACTAGGTGTTTGACAGATCTTTGAAATATTTGGGAGTAATAGTAATAGATCTGTAGAAGATTAACCAAATGAAAGAAATCAAGGCAATTAATATCTCTAAGATAAATAAAGGAAACATTCGTAGTATATTATTGATGGAACAGTGAACAATATATAATCACAGTATTATAAACACTGACTATTGACTTAACCAAAAATTGTGATTTTACTGTTTAGGGAGGTTGGGATACTACTATAATAAGTTAATATATAATGTGGAAAGCTGATGAATCCAGAAACAACAATATGAGGACATTAATTAGAAATCTGAAGGAGGCTGCCTGCCCCTGGGGCAGCAGACTGGGGGATGGAGTCAGGGGATTGCTGTATTTATTACAAAACTTCAGTACTATTTGATTTTAACCTTGTGTGTAATACAAAAATTAAAAGTAATAAAAAATAAAATGGGCATACCAATAATAAATTAGTTTCCTCTTTGAGAAAAATTACTGTTTAATAGTTCTATTTGACTTGTTAATTATTAAAATGTAGTAGAGTCTTACTATAATGAGATTTTCTAGAAAGTAGATTTACTCTAAGTTCAGATTTGGCCTCCAATTGAGAATTGTGGCTCTGGAAATACCAAGGGAACTAACAAAACAATCAGTGTTACCTGAAAAGACAGTCCTGTGTGCAGTTAGCTCATCAAGTCCTGGGCCTGAAATAGGCACCCATTAAAGATGTGGGGTGTGGAGTTTATGATTCACCACAAAGCTGTGGTTGCAATCCCTGGCTTTAGGATGAAAGGTAGGACTCCGTGACATTTCAATCGTAGTTGCTACTCCTACTCCATAGCTAGTTTCTTTCCCCTAATAAAATAAATGGCTTCCTTGTCCCTTGGAAAACCTCTAGACTACTTTCACTCCCTCAGACTGTGCTTGCTGGAATCATTTTCACCTATCACATTTGTTAATTTTAGCTCTTGACTTCGTCCCAGTAAGACTTAGGCAGGAACAAACACAGACCATCATCTGATCTGGTAAGAGGGCTCTTTTGGAAATAACAATAGCTACTGTTTATGGAGCCCCTTCCATACATTGTTTCTAATCTTCATAACCCTGTGAGATAGCTCCTCTCCCCCAGTGTTACAGTTGAGACAGTGGAGGCTCTGGGAGGTGAAGTCACTTGCCCAGGCCACCACAGTGGACGGCAGAGGTGCAGTTCAGAGCTAGGCTGCGTGAGGTAGCTCATTCAGCCTCTGTTGTGTTGCTTCCCCCAGTCCAGAGTCAGCAGGCCTTTGTGACACTCAACCCCCAGGTCGTACAATCTCCCAGAAAACTTACAAGACAAAGAGATGCCTGTGTGTCCTTATACAGTGGCCAAAATGGATGTGACTGCTTTGGTCTTCTGAGCTGCATTTTCCTTCAGTCGGACACACACTGGACACAGAGAGCTAGAGAACCCAGCAGGCTGTCAATGGAAAGTGTTTGCAGAGTCAGAGCAAGTGGGCTTTTTGGCAGGTGCACATGAAATAGCATGCACATGCCTCAAGATCTTTGCTCTCCACACGCCCCCCGCCCCCAAGTTATTGGCTGGGCTGGAAACAGTGGAGGGGTCAGTCACATTTGGGATCATTTGGTCCTGGGGGGTCCCAAACCAGGCCCCATGTCAGGCCTCCTGCCTCATTCCCTTGACCCACGTCAGCCCCCCTTTTTAAATAGGACTGAACTCCAAACTTTAAAAAAAAATTGTCTTTAGCCTAAAATCTTAAAAGAAGGGTCCTCTTCTGATAACTTGTTCTAGAATTATACATTTCCTAGATTTAAAAAAATTGCCTTCAGGGGTGCGCCTGGATGGCTCATTCGGTTAAGCCTTTGGCTCAGGTCATGATCCGAGAGTGCTGGGATGAAGCCCATGTGGGGCTCCCTGCTCAGTGGGGAGTCTGCTTCTCCCTCTCCCTCTGCCCCTCCCCAGCTCATGCTCACTCACTCTCTCTCAAATAAATAAAATCTTTAAAAAATATACAAAAATAAACAAAAAATTGCCTTCAAAGGAAAAAATTTTAGAAATACCCATTCCTGTTTGTCCAATTCCTTGTGAAAACAAGAAACAACTCTTCTCTATTCTAAAACGTAGTGGTTTTCAACCTTAAGTATGCACACAAATCATTTGGGGAACTTGTTAAGATGTAGCCCATTCCATGTATTCTGATTCTAAAGGACTAGAATGGAGACCAAGAGTCTGCATTTTATTTTATTTAATTAATTAATTAATTTATTTATTTGGGGGTAAAAATTTGTTTATTTATTTTAGAGAGAGCGTGCGTGAGGAAGGGGAGGGGCAGAAGGGAAGGGAGAGGGAGAAAATCTCAAGCAGGCTCCAGCCCAGTGGGGAGCCTGCAGCGGGGCTCAATCCCATGACCCTGAGATCATGACTGAGCTAAAACCAAGAGTCAGACACTTAACCAACTAAGCCACCCAGGCACCCCCAAGAGTCTGCCTTTTAAGCAAGTGTCCCAGGTGATTCAAAATAGGTTGTCCATAGGGGCACCTGTGAGATCAAGCCCCATCTCTGGCTCCGTGCTGGGCATGGAGCCTGCTTGAGATTCTCTCTTTCCCTCTGCCCCTTGCCCTGCTTGGGCATGCGCTCGCTCACTCTCAAAAAAAAAAAAAAAAAGTCCATGGACTATACTTTCAGAAACACAGCTCAGATCACATACTTTAATTAAGGACCTAAATTCTTTCTTTCTTAATATTCTTACTACATTTTAAAATATTTTAAAATAGTTCTAATTCTCTGAATTTTTTTTTTTAAAGATTTTATTTATTTATTTGAGAGAGAGAATGAGAGACAGAGAGCATGAGAGGGAGGAGGGTCAGAGGGAGAAGCAGACTCCCCGCCGAGCAGGGAGCCCGATGCGGGACTCGATCCCGGGACTCGATCCCGGGACTCCAGGACCATGACCTGAGCCGAAGGCAGCCGCCCAACCAACCGAGCCACCTAGGCACCCCCTGAATTGTTTTCTTTTAAAACAGTTTTTCTAGAGGCGCCTGGGTGGCTCAGTCGGTTAAGCAACTGTCTTTGGCTCGGGTCATGATCTCAGGGTCCTGGGATCAAACCCCACATCGGGCTCCCTGCTCCGCGGGAGGCCTGCTTCTCCCTCTCCCACTCCCCCTGCTTGTGTGTTCCCTCTCTCACTGTCTCTCTTTCTGTCAAATAAATAAATAAAATCTTAAAAAAAAAACCTAACAGTTAATGATTTTTATTTCATCCTCTAGCTTTGCTCATACTGTCCTTCCACTTAAATTGAAAATTATGTGCCATTTTGGAAAGGTCAGGGCTTTGGGACCGTACTACTTCCAGGATGTGCGACCTTGGACAGAACCCTCTCCTGGCCCCTTCAAGTTTCCTTACCTGTGAAATGGAATTGTTGTGACCCTTGTGTATGGCACATATCAGGCGCATATTAAACGTCTGTTTCTTTCCCCAACTGAATGCAATAGAACAAACAAGTTAGTTCACAGTCTTTCATTTCTTTGCTTAAGTTAATGCCTGTGGGTTTAAGGTTGCTTAACGGGAAGCTTTCTTGGGCCTTTTTTCATTCTAGGAAGAAGATAGAGGCTCTCTTTCATTTGCTTGTAACAATGCTTTTTGTATCTTGCAAATGAGTTTCAAAACTATCAAAAGCTGGATCAGGAAAGAATAGTCCAGTCTGATATGGTAGTGTACAGTTAGGCAAAATTTTCAATATTCGTTGTTGCTAATTCAGTGTTTTGCCAGACCTGTTGCTGCATGGTTTTATAACTATAATTTTAAAGATTTGGACACAGTTTATAAGCATTACTCATTTTAAGAGGACTTAAGAGGATAAGGTCATTGTAGACTCAAGAGAATATTAGTAATAGTCATTAGCTTTTTAAAATAAACTTACATCCAGTATAAAGTACAGGACACGCAAACAAATATCTGGGCCTATATTAACTGATAGTATTCAAGGATATGGTTAGAATTTCAAAAATGCCTATTAATATATAATTCTTGGCATTAAACCGCCAATTTGGATATAGCTTTTTTTTTAAGATATTATTTATTTATTTGACAGAGAGAGACACAGAGAGAGAGGGAACACAAGCAGGGGGAGTGGGAGAGGGAGAAGCAGGCTTCTCGCGGAGCAGGGAGCCCGACGCGGGGCTCGATCCCAGGACCCTGGGACCATGACCTGAGCCGAAGGCAGACGCCTAACGACTGAGCCACCCAGGCGCCCCTGGCTATAGCTTTTTAAATCTGAAGTGCTGTATCAATGACAGACTTTATTATAGTTTGGTCCAAAGCCCTTGAACTTTCCAGAATGGCACCAAAACAGATACTGTATTTTTCAGTTTGTGCTAGTGGCACCCTTTGATTTTTATTTTTGGCTTTACACTTGGGAGTTTGAAAGTTTTAAGACAACACTAAACAAGTCAGCAGTCACTCCCTGCGGGCTCTCTAGCAGAATGACAGTGCCTTAAGAACCTAGATAGCATCCACAGTTAGTGCACGTCACTTGTGTCTCCAGGTGGTGGGAACTGCGTACTTAGTTCCTGGGCTGTGCTTTCTTAGGTGCTCATGAGCCCTGAGCTGGTACCACAGCATGAACCATACATAGGTCCACTCATTTGCAGGACAGACACATTTTGTACATTGATCAGAATTTGGAAGGACAAAATGATGCCCTGGCTGAGAACCCCTGTGATACACACTAGTCACATCCAGTCCGATTGTGAATTTTTATGTGCTATATTTGGCAGACCTACATGAAGATCTTGTTACTTAGCCATTCTAAGATACCCAGATTTTGGTTTTTTTTTTAAGATTTTATTTATTTATTTGACAGAGAGAGACACAGCGAGAGAGGGAACACAAGCAGGGGGAGTGGGAGAAGGAGAAGCAGGCCTCCCGCCAAGCAGGGAGCCCGATGCGGGGCTCGATCCTAGGACCCTGGGATCGTGACCTGAGCCGAAGGCAGACGCTTAATGACTGAGCCACCCAGGCACCCCAAGATACCCACATTTTTGTTGTTACAGGATAGGCTGGAAAGTGTAACAAGTGAGTCCAGCTTTGCCTTCTGGGGTTGACCACTCGTAGCCAGAGCCTCTTAACCAGCACTTCCTCTGAAATATATGATGTTAGCTATTTAACCAAAGATAATGAAATCCAAGGTTTTAATCTACTTGGATTTATTGTTGATGGGAGGGGGCTGTGTCATCTACTGGTCAGGAGCCTGATCCTTGGAACTGGGCAGAGCAGGGTTGGTTTCCAACTATGGTGCCTTGGGCAGGGTGCTTGACTTCTCCAACCAATAGGCTTTTACCTGAAGAATTGGGATAATGATTCTCTTTTCCTCACAGGATCATCGTGCAAATGCAATGTTGTAGTGAATGGCCCATGTTTCTCATAAATGTCTGACACACAGTAAGGTCTCAGTAAATATCCTCCCTCATTATTCATGTGTTCTAAGATGTGAGCTACATTAATTTTTCTGTGTTGCAGTTATCTGACACTCTATTAAATAAATATTGATTAAATAAAATAAATGCCTTTTCTTATTGTTATTGAAATACATCTGATTTTTATTAAATGATTTGGTATGATTGGGTTCCCTGTTATTTCCCACCGATCTAGATTTCTGGCCTTATGCCAAGTAATACACTGTTGTGATTATTGTTATTTTATGTTATAATAACGTATATTATCAGTCCTAACCAGAGTTCTAAAGATTTCGGCTCTATACAGCAATGAAATCGGTTTTAAATAATAGTACCCCTGGCACTTACCAAACAAGGAAAAAAGTTCCCCGTTGAAGAAAATAAGGCACGGGGGGTGCCTAGGTGGCTCAGTCGTTTGGCGTCTGCCTTCGGCTCAGGTCATGATCCCAGGGTCCTGGGATCGAGCCCCACATCGGGCTCCCTGCTCCGCGGGAAGCCTGCTTCTCCCTCTCCCACTCCCCCACCCCCGGCTTGTGTTCACTCTCTCACTGTGTCTCTCTCCGTCAAATAAATAAAAATCTTCAAAAAAAAAAAAAAAAAGAAAGAAAGAAAAGAAGGCACGGGCCCTGCCTCTATGACATGGGTTCTTGTTGTGGAAGCTGAATTCCCTTTACATATAATCAGAAATTATGTTTGAATTCGAACTTACCTCTCTTCCGTTTCCAGCCACCTCCTAGTATGAATGTATGATTTGACAAATGTCTTGCATACCTGTGAGGTTGTCGTGTGGGTTCTAGCTCTCAGATTATTCATTCTTTATACACCCACTGAGTTAGCCTTAATCACTGTAAACTCAGTGAACATAAATGAGACCAGTATTGGTAACTGCAGTGGGATTTGCCTTATTCGCCAACATTTTGGGGACCCAGGGTTTGCCAGAGCCCCGCGCACCGGCGTTGTTCGGCTTTTAGCGGCGCAGGTTGGGGGGCATCTCGCCACAGAGATGCTCCAGGTTCCAAAGGTGGTGCTGAGCAGGCCTGCGCTCCCGGCAGCCCGAGTAGCCGGTGTCTTTCTTGGGACTTTAGGACTTTCCAACGTTGAGAACCACTCGATGCTGCACCTAAAAACAGACCCCCCGTTGACTTAGAAGCCGGCCCCGGGGTTGGTTTTGGACTGCGGTAGAGGGCCACGGCCGGCCTGGGCCTGGCGATCGCCGGGAAGAGTGGGGCCGGCCGGTCGGCCGGCGCGGCGCCGAGAGGGTTAAGGCGGCGGCGGCGGCGGCGGCGGCGGCGGCGGCGGCGGCGGGGGCGGGCCTCGCGGGCCGGGCTTGGGGCCCTTTGTTAACAGGCGCGTCCCGAGCGGAGACGGAGACGCGGCCGCGGCCATGGGCGGGCGCGCGGGGTGGCGGCGAGGCGGCGTGGCGGGGCCGCCGGGGCGCGGGAGGGCGCGCGGGGCCAGCGGGGCGTGCCGGGCCTGAGTGCGCGGCGCAGCGAGCGCGGGGAGGGGTCCGGCCCCGAGGCCGTCGGCACGCAAAAATGCTGGAGATTTGCTTGAAGTTGGTGGGCTGCAAATCCAAGAAGGGGCTCTCCTCGTCCTCCAGCTGTTACCTGGAAGGTAAGCGCCGGCCGGCGCGGAGCGGATCAGGGCGGCCGCGGGGCCGCGGGGCCGCGGGCCGGGCCTTCCCGGGCCGCGCCCGCCCGCGCGCGCTCCCTCCTCGCCCTCCCTGGCCCTCCCTTCCCTTTCCCTCTCTCCCCCTCCCTCTCTTGCTCTTCCTCTGTCTTGCCTGCGACCACGCCTGGGCGCTGCGGGCCGAGCGGGAGGGTGCGGGGCTCCGGTCCTCCCCGCGCCCTAACCCCGGGAGAGCCCACGCCGGGATGGCGGTGTCGCCGGGCCCCCAGCCGCGGGGCTCTCCCTGAGGAAGTTTGAGAAAGCGAACTCTACAGGCCCGAACGGCCTTGTGAGCCCACGTTGTGGAATTTCTACCGTTAATTGGGAATTATGTGTCAAAAAGGTCGACCCGTGTTTGTGAAACATGTGATTTTCATTAAGGATCGTGTACAAAGGAACACGGCTCTACCATTTATGGATACAGAATTCAAGCGATCTTTCTACCCCACACCCCACGCTCACAACCCCCAACCAGTGTTATATGCAGACCACGAAGAGGTCTTAGGAATTCTCCCTTTTCGGGGTTGGGGGAAGCGAAATTACAGATTTTAGGAAGGCATTGTGAATGAGTTCAGAGTACTTGGCGGGGGAGGGGGAGCCTCATGTTAGGTTCGCTCCATAAAGCGCAGAGCCAGGAGCATCTTACTTTTGCCTTCTTTCCATTCTACTTTCCTTCTCTCACCCCTGTGTTCTTCTTTCCTGTTGTCTTTCCTTTTCTGTGCCAGTAACAACGGAAAAAAAGTGAACTGGGATGGTGCGTGGTCGTCATTTTGTAGCTTCGAGTGGAGGAAATCGATCTGATTTAGGGACTGGTCATCCCGGGCGTAATCCTGCTGGCATTTCTCGGTCGTTTTCACTTAGGACTTAAAATAGGAATAGAAACGTAAATGTCATTTTAGAACAAGTATGATTTTTGCTATAGTGCCATGAAGTTGCAATGTTTTACTTTTTAAAATGAGGGAAAAATAAAGGAAGGCCTCATAAATGGTCTAATCTCTCTTCCTTACAACTTTTTTTTTTTTTTTTTTAAACACCCCACACCCTCACCGGGCACCTTTTTTTTTTTTTTTCTTTTTGACTTGAGGGTCTGCCTGAAGTCACATAAGCAGCTTAAACCTTAAGCACCAGTGTGGTAGGTGAAACCTGTTTGCCCTTGCTGCCACAGTATGTATACATCCATCAGTCCCCTTCCCTGTTCGGGATTTTCGACCTTGGAGCAGGCTCATAAAACTCGGCATTTGGAGGGTGGAGATGGTTTATTTGTCCCCAAAAGTTGGCATCTGAAGCAGCCAAAATAATCTTCAGTTAATCCATCGCTTATTTTCCAAGTTGCTCAAAATTCTGAACACATTCTCATTTACATCTGTATCCAGTTAATGTTAGGCATTATCATCTCCATTTTGCAGATGGACGCCTTCCGTGGAGTAGAAGAACAGACTTTTGTAGCTGCAGAGTTGGAGGAAAGTTTAGGTCACAGAAGAGCTGTGATACTGTTTTGTTTTCTTGGCGTAAACTAGAGATTTAGTGTGTACCTGGCTGCTTTAATTATTGGGGTTTGGGGGGTTATCTAATCCTAAATGTCTCATTCCATCCTGTCCTGAAATAATGTAGCCTACTGAGTCTCAAAAAAACCCAGCTGTGGTACCACAGACCGCCTTGGGTTAAGGCTGCATCTAGGAAGGAATCACTATAGGAATTCTCTCTTCTTACTGAGTTGCCCTTACTTTGCTAGTGTATTTAATTGGAGAAAGTAAATGGAATTATTGTTTTGTAAGTGGAGAGAATTTAACAAACCTCAGTGATCATTTCTTGAAGACTGGACGAGCTATGAGTCTCTTGGGAAGAACAGTTGCCAACATCTGGATAAGTAATCCAGTCTTTCCGTTTTTACTGACGTCCTAAATCAATCAATCAGTGTTTATTGACACCCACTCAGGGCTCAGGCAGCTCAGGTCACAGAGAGAATTGAATATGGTCAAGTTTTCCATTCTGTCAAAGAGGGTTCAGCCATAAACGCAACTTGAACACACATCTACTTGCTACCCAGGCCTAGCTGTCAAAGAAATAATTAAATGCTTACTGTATGCCAAGCTCTATTTTGGCATCCTGTGTGATTTAGTGTGCTTGTTTCTCATGATGGCCCTCTGGTTATTTCCACTTCATATATGAAGAATCTAAGGCACCAAAAGGTTAGGAAACTTGCCTGAGGTCACAGAGCTAGCAAGTGGTGGTTGGGATTTGAACCCATGCTGTCTGGCTCTAAAGAGCCCAGTTTTAAAGAGCCCAGTTTTAGCTGTTCTGTGCTTTACTAACTGTCACTGTGACCTTTGGCACTCTCTTTGGATGTTAAAATAGTATCTTCAAGAAGCACTCAAATGCCTGAAATAGGGTATTCTTTCTTTTCTAGAAAACTAATGCTGATAAAAATTATCTTTGCCAGTAGAAGTAAAAATGATTATCTTTACCAGTAGAATATTTTAAACATATTTTAAAATAGTTCTACATGATAAAAAAAATTCTAAAAGGGTATTTTGTGAAAAGTAATTGTGTCTCCTATCCAGTTTCCCTATACCCAGAGGCAATCACTCAGAGTTTCTCGTGTATCCTTCTGGGAATATCCTACGCATATAACAAGTATTTATAGCATTTGAATTTTGTGTTCCAACTCTGTGAAAATGTATGTTTATAGCAACATCTTTCACTATGACCACATTTAGCTTTACAACCTTAGGTCTACTTCAAACACTGAATTTTCTGATTATTTCTTCCCCCTAGAGATGTGGAAGAAAACATGAATACTAGCCATTTGAATTTGCTTTTTTCCCAGTTTTCTTTGTTCATGTTTGTATTTGCATACGTTGTGCATGACTGTTGTACGTGGATATGCTAGTTCTGTAGTGTGGAATCAGAATTTAATGTCTTGTGAAGTGAACTCTAATTGAACTTTGTAAATTTATTTTAAGGGCCCACTTTTAAATGCCTCTTTTCAGCAGTTAACTTTCTGGTGGATGCTTTATGTGGTGCCAGCCACACAGATACACTGTTAGAACTTCTGCTTCAGAGAAGCTCATGCTCTCTTTCTAAATACTCTCTTCTGAGGTCATCACATGCTTCCCTTGTGTAGTAACAAAGAAAATATGAGGCTTTTTCAGGAACCTAATAGAAAGCCAGCCAGTCCTCTCATTTGAGGTTACATTAAAATTGTTGAGCATTTCTGATGTGACAGGCCTCGGCACTAAGCACTTCATACACATCCTCACTTCATTCTCACACCAGCGCTATGAGGTTTCTAGAGAAGAGGAGGAGAAGGGCCCCATTTCACTTCGGTTGGAACTACTTCTGAATTTGGAGTCAGGAGAGCCCAGTTTTTGTCTGACCTCTCAGCTTTTCTGCTTCCTTACTTACCTCTAAGAGCAAACATCCTCTATCCAGCCCACCTCAGAGGATTGTTTTGAGGATCTAGGAGAGGATTCCAGTGAAAGTTTTGAAACCAATAAGATGCTAAATATTTGTATTTATACTGACATGCAGTTCCTTTGAGATGTCCCTAAGTCCAGATGGTTCTATGGTCAGGGTATTGCAGAAGTCCCAGTCTCACGTGAGGAACATGGCTCCAGAGCCAGCTGCCTGGGCCTGGTTGCCAGCCGGGCTTGCCTGCTGAGCTGAGGGATGTTGCTTTCTGAGCCTTGGTGTTCTCATTTCCAAAATACAACTCGTAGTAGTCCCTACCTTCTCGAGTTGGGAGGTTTGCGTGAGAGATTTTGTTTAAATTGTTCAGCACAGAGTAAGATGTTATAGCACGTTAGCTGTTACTTTA